GCATTTTTTGGTGGACGACCATGTAAAGAATAGCACACGTCACGAGTGTGTCCAAGTTTATGACAATAAGAGCACTTAGGTCTAGATCTTCCAAAATAACCTCCTCCTCGTCTATTCTCCATAGTTTGAGATGCCCGATTTTCCACTGACTAGAATACGAGAACAGATGAGTCAAGTGTCTGCGATTAGCTCAGTGGGTGACTTGGTGCTGCAGCAAGGCGAAGTAATCGAGAGAAAAATTCAACAACTGTGGGAACAGTCGGACTAGCCAAAATCTGATCACGTACTGAGTCAAGATCATTAGGAAGTCCAGCAAGAGTAAGAACTAGAAACATCTTTTGTCGCTGCTCTTGTTGCCTTTCAACACTAGCAGAAACTGGCATCAACTTCTCAAATTCCTCCATGACTGCCTGTACTTGTCCCAAGTAAGTAGACATATCTAATTCATGTTTCTTTAAATTTGTCATCCGCGATATCACATCATAGAACCGAGATATGTCATTAGTGTATAAAGTGCGAGCCTTTTCCCAAACCAAATAACATGTTTGGAATGGACGAAACAAGGGCATCAACTTGGAATCAATATATCGCCACAGAATACTGCATAATTGAGCATCGATCTTCTCCCAATGTGCTTTGGCCTTTTCATCTCCTTCGCTAGATTTCTTGATTAAATGACCTTGAACACCTTGACCTTTACACTACAGCTCGACAGACGAAGCCCAAGCTAAGTAGTTTGAACTTCCCATTAAAGGTTCGAAGGTAATCATAACACCGGAACTGCCAGAACCTGGGTTTTAGACCTCAAAGCATCAACTCCCAAAGACATTGTTGGATTGAAGAGAGGTCTATAAGATTATCACCATATAATAGAAAGAATCAATTGAAAACTCGCTGAAACAGACGAAAGAGACACTGTTTCAGCCGAAAATTACTGTATCTGCCGGAAAATGTCAGTGTAGTCGCTGGAAAAACTCAAAGTGGTCGGAATTAAAAAATAAAATTATGGGTAGGCTCGGAATTTGAGGGTGATCCAACTGCTCTGAAGGAATTTCTTCAAAAAGTGCCTGGAAAGTGCTCCACGCGCCGGCGCGTGGACTAGATCTCGTAGGAATTTTTTTTCTAATCGGCGCGTGGTGGCGCGTGAGGTGTATATATAATACATGTCCTACTCCTAATACATATGGGATTAAATTTATTTACCACTATTTAACTACCAAACTATCAGGCGTGATTTGAGGCCTCGAGTAAGTTCATATTATATATTGGGACTTGTTAGTGTGATTGGACGGGGACCCGGAGGCCTAGGGTGTGTTTCGGGATGGTTTTGGGCCATTTAGCCATATTTGGACTGTTGTTTCTGGTGCATCCTTCTTCGCGATCGCGAAGAAAGGGCCGCATTCGCGAAGGACTTGTGGGCATCAGGAAGTTTGTGCTTCGCGTTCGCGAAGAGGCACTCGCATTCGCGAAGCTTTGGGCGGTAGTGTATTGCAATCACGCAGAAGGTTAGGCGGGAAGGGCACTAGGTGTTTTTTCCTACGCGTTCGCGAGGGATTAGTCGCATTCACGTAGGGATTAAGGAGTTGACCATCGCCTTCGCAACCGATGTCGTGTTCGCGAAGAGCGTTTTGGCAGCTGGTCGAAGTTGGCATTTGCGATCGCGAGGGTGTGTCCGCGATCGCGAAGAAGGGATTTGCTGGGCAGACTTGTTTTATTGCGGGTTTTGGTTCATTTCTTCCACTTCTCACATGGTTTGGGCGATTTTCAGAGCTGTTCAAGAGGGGATTTTCATCATCTATTGCAAGGTAAGTAATTCCACACATTGTAAGTTAATTTCATGGATTTTATAAGGATTTAACATGTAAATTTGTGAAAAATTATCAGATTTTGGTAAAACCCCTAGAATTTGGTATTTTTGAATTTTGATCACGAAATTTTACATGGAATTAGGAATAAATTATATATTTGAGTTCATGGTGTTATGGGTATTGATTATCTTTAAGAGTTTTCAGAATCCGGGCACGTGGGCCCGAAGGTTGACTTTGTTGATTTTTCGAGCGGAGTTGAAAATTATTATAAATTGTTAAATTATACGCAATGGAGTATTTTTTGATTGATTTGCACGTTGTTTGACTAGTTTCGGATCGTTTGACTTTGAATTGAGATGTTAGAGAGGCATTGGAGACGGTTATTGGAACTTCAGAGCGAGGTAAGTCTCATGTCTTACCTTGTGAGGGGGAAACTACCCCCTAGGTGGTGTAACTATTACGTGCTACTAGTTGTGGGTGCTACGTATACACGAGGTGATGAGAGATCGTACGTAGCTAAAACATGTTTATGTCCGGGAAGACTTAGGACTTTATCATGTAATATTTGAATTATTTGAACTCATTTTGCTAGCTAAATTAAGTGAATTTATAGTTGGAATTGATTTAGGAATATATATTGGGCCGAACCTTATCACCTTCAGTTTTCGGCAAAATATTTGATAAACGGTAAGGGTCTACCCACTTTATGCTCATGTACTTGTATTGGAAGCACGCGACTCGTAATTCGATAAGTTCCTTCATTTCTTGTGGAGCGGGTCGAGCGCTTCAGTAGTATATTGAGATACATCTCTGGTTCGTGCCGATCGATCCTCGACAGTGTACACACCACTCTGGATCGGACCGTATGACCTCGGCATAATCGCGCATTATATCGCTAGCAGTCCGAATATTCACGAGATTTTACTTCTACTGATGCCTGGCGTTTTATATGGTATTCCTTATCCATTTAATATTGGCACTTGATATTTTTCGAGCTGTTGAGATAGGATACGAGATTGGGAAATTTATATCGTTAAAAGAAATTTTGAAATATTATGTTAGTTATAGTTTTTACCTCACTACTACTGTTGTGCCTCATATATGTTTTATGATGTATCGTACTGCTTTATTGGACCCCTAGTAAGTATCGATGTCGACCCCTCGTCACTACTTCTCCAGGGTTAGGCTAGATACTTACTGGGTACACGTTGATTTACGTACTTATGTTGCACTTCTGCACTAAATGCGCAGGATCTGACAGATTCATTTGGTTGTCATTTGGACGCACAGGCGCAGCTACCGAGGATACTTTATGGTGAGTTGTATTCTAGGCTGCGTATTGCAACCCATAGAGTCTCCATGGTACCATTTACCTTATCCCGCCTTATTTACATTCCAGACAGATGTTATATTATTATTGTACTCTTTAATAAATGCTCATGCAATTGTAACACCGGGTTTTAGGATACTCTGGTGGTTGTTTGTCGTTTAGCTTGATATTATCTTCTTTTATTTTATATCGTACTAATATTGTAAGTATTCATGATTTTAAACGCATTGGACCCTTTACTTAATAAGACTTATGACTTTAAAAATAATAAAATGAATAATTGAATTGATAGTTCACCATTGGCTTACTTAACGGTAACGTTGAGCGCCATCACGATCCATAGTGGAAATTGGGCCGTGACATAGTTGATGGAGATCAAAAGTACTCATTTTTAACAAACGTAAATGATCAACATTGTAGAAGAGTATATTTAAGAGATTATTTAAACACACATCAAATATAAGGGATTTTTTTAGAAATAGCCAGATTTACAATTGATAATTTAAAAATACCTATAGTTTCAAAAGTAATCGAAATTTAGCCACTTTTCATGTAAAGATAAAATATGAATACAAACACCTTTAGAACTCCGGAAAAATTCCAACATAATATGCCGGATTTCGAATTTTTTACATAAGAGATTCCAGCATAGTATGCTGGAATTTCATAATATGCTGGAGTTCCGACATAATATGCTGGAAGTTTATACACATGAGTTCTATAATCTAGCATATTATCCTTAAACTTTCCATGTTACAGCTAGGGTATTTTTGTCCATATTTTATCTCCACATAAAATAGTGATTATTTTTTAACGACTTTGTAAATGCTGGTTGTTTTTCTATTATCAGTCCATAAACTGGCTAGCCCATGCTATTTTCACAAATATAAGGGATCATTTTTGGGGGTATTTGCATCTATACCCGCTTTTTGTGTCATATTTTAACTTGTGCCCGCTTTGCAAAAAAAAATTGCAAGCATACCCACTTTTTCGCATAACTTCAGCACACGAGGCTGAAGTAGCAAAGGCAATCACGCAAAATTTCAGCATTCTAGTAGCCGGACCTGAAGTTCAGCTCTAGAGCTGAAGTTTTTGTGTTGTAACTGGAAAACTTCAGCTCTAGAGCTGAAGTTTTTGTGTTGTAACTGGGAAAGTTCAGCTCTAGAGCTGAAGTTTTAGACTTAACTTACCACAATAAAATCACAAAATTATATTTTCACACATTTAATTAATTATGATTGGATATATGGCAGTTTATATGTATAGAGAAAGAAGTGTTGCTAGGTACAATGAATTTTGCAGAGGAATTCCAATACCAAGATATATAGGAAATATATCGAAGCGGATAGTACATGCTATTTGATCTTAAAAACTTGCCGCAAACTTGAAAAATGAAGGGGAATGTCCAAATCTGGAGCGCCACTCGTTAACATCAAGCATAACAAGAGAATCATATACAGAATGATTATAAACATGAAAAGTTGAAAAACTATAAACATCTTAAAAGGAGATTATCCAAGATTTCCTTTTTTTTAGGTTCTTCATGTAACCCCGAACTAACCAAATCTTAGGTGAAGCATATGGTGATGATGTAGAGGAATTGGATCTGATGGTTGGAATGGCTGTCGAGAAAATGAAGGAGGAGAAGGGGAGGAGAAAGGGAGCTGAAGTAGTTTAAAAAGTGGGTACAAGTTAAAAATTTTTTAAAAAAAAGGGTATAGGTTAAATGGGGGCGAGGCGCCCCGTGCAATTTTTACTCATTTTTGTCACAATTGGATTCAGAGTTGGACTCTAAAATTTGGGCCTGGTTTATAGTCCGAACGGGCTTGGGTTTTTCTAAGATAAAGGTCACAGAATAAAAAGCGGGATTGAGAGTTGAAAAACAATTCTACCGGGACTCTGAAAAACCTCCAAAATTCTTGCATTCTCCATCTCCTCAAGCAGTGAGCGAAGAGTAGAAGACAAGGGTTGAAAGGATGAGCAGGTCGGGTCAACCTCCGGATCTCAAAAAGTAGGGTTTTTCTCTCATGGACCTTAGCTTCTCATTTTCTTATCCTTGTTTTTCTTCCTATGTGAATATGGAGATTTCTTATTCCTTTAAATTTTTTGCGTTTTGTTTGCTATCCACAGGTATATGGACAAGCAACTTCAAAGTAAGTTACTAATGCTTTATGTCTTATGTACTACTTTATTTGGATAGTTAATTTGTTCTTGCTGCAGTTTATTTAGGGTTTAAGTATTTTTGTTAAGAGTTTAGGTCAGGCCTTTAGTATACTACCCCTCTAGGGTTTACGCAATGCTTATGCGATTGATACATATTCTTATTATATTTTGTTTATGCTGCTTTAATTCTTCAATTCAAGTGATATGCCAACATTTGCATACACCTATGCGTTTGTAAACCTATGATGTTTCAGTGTGGATAACTTATGTTAATTTTACCTGCTATTTCAGTGTGTCGATAACTTGTGTTACTTTTACCTGCTATAAGAAACACGGGCTGTCAAAAACCTTTTTAATGCGCGGGTCATTATCTTTTGTCAGACATTATTCAAAATAGACACTATGTCATCTGTGGACGAGACATGATGATAAATCATCCTCTCAGAAATATATGTAAGCCAAGGATGAATCCAATGCGTGTGATTATGCATGACTTAGCTGAAAAATATTGAACTAATCGGCATTGACTAGAGATGCCTATTTAGCGTGTTAAGGCAGCTGCATAGTGTTCTCAAGAATTTCCTCTGAAACAAAATATACATTGGGTTTGATTTTGAATATCTTGGTTTAACCACAACCGTACTCGCTTTAATTGGAAACATACTTTGCTATGTTTCCTTTTTCCTTTTTTCTTTTTAATTAGATACATTGTCAGATCAGTTCAAGTTGGTTACACAAACTTTAGACCTATATGACATGAAGTTAAATGAAGTCAGTAAAACCTAGATTTTGAGTGAATCAGTCTCATTTCAAGTCCAAAGGCAGGCTCTGTAGTTCATACACTTCCTAGAACTGATGTTAGCTTTTTTAGTTGTTTATGCTTGGAAATTTCGATTTATTATTATCCTCTTAAGGTCGTTCATGATAGTTATCACGGTTCTTCACTCAATGTTTTGTGGTTGCTTCAGCGAAATCATGACTTCATTGTAAAGCCAAAGTGCATGGAGATATTTTGGACTCCTTAGCACACCTTGATTTCATATTCCAATCTTGGGTAAAAAATTCTTTGTCATGCAACTCTATCTTTAACATACAGCACACATTCTTGAACCTGCATTCTTGTAAGTGCTTCTTACCGTCATCCAAAAGCTGGATAATGTTGTATTTCCTAATTGGGTCAAAGTTGCATTGTGCTTGCAATATTGCATAATTGGAGTGCAAGTACATCTGTTCTGAATGCCTATATGGTGTAGCCAGGGGCGTACGCATAACTTTTCATAAGCGGTGTCACAATTAATCTGTAGACGATGATAGTAGCAGCAAGCCAACACATTCAAAAATTGCATAATGGAGTTTACATATAGATACAATAATTCTTATTACTTAACCATCATAGAAGTGTCTTTTCTACTAGCTTGTTCATTGTATTTTGTGGTAGAGGTCGGCAGTTTGAATCCGTGCTAAGTGCTAACTGAAGCTCTCTTTTTTATTAGCAAAAATAAACACAAATAAGTGAGAAATCATGTAGGCATGTAGAATCGAACACTCGACCTTCAGTATGGACCACTGGACTGAGAACCAGGTTGTTAAGTGTTGTCACTTGACTTTTACTATATCTTATTTTTCTTTTGCATATCATCTAACATAACCGAAATTAGTCAAATTTTCCGACGAAGCGGTGTCACGTGACACCATTTGGGCCTACGTGCATCCGCCCCTGGGTGTAGCTAAGCAGGGAAGAAAAGAGAAGTCCATTATTCAAGGATGTAGAAAATACATAACTTCTGGACCCAGGGCTTAGTTCAAGTGGCAAAGGTTAAGAAATTTATGGCTTTGGTCACAGGTTTGAGCATGGGCTACGCTATCTAAGCCTGGTATTTAAGTGGAGCAGGGTAGAGGGGCAGATCTATTATCCTCGAGTTCCAAAGGATACTATTGGTCCTAAGAATTGGCCCAACAGATTTCTTGGTCATAAAAAAATACATAACTTCAATAAGCATGGAACATTTTTTTTCTTTACCACATATTGATAAGCTTGGCTCTTCGTGTATTTGATGCTGGAACTAGTGCTGTATGTCACGGTTCCTTACTAGATTAGGCAATTTTATCTTTGAAATGTTGCTCTACTCTTACATTGAAAACAAATTCTTATTATTCTTAGAAATAAAGTGGAAAAGGGAAGAATATGACAATTCATGAGCTATTTAAGCAATCCCTGTAAAGTCATGAACCGTATTAAAATTTCTGAGTCTTAGCTCAGCTGATATCTGATGGACAAAATATCCTATCCTCTCTTATAAGGCGTCCTCCTTATTTGCATTTTCTTTGCTTTCTGTCAACGTGTATACTTTCTTGTAAGTCATAGAAGAGGGTAACAACTGAACAAGAAAGATAGATTTTGGTAAGTCAACTTTATTCTTTGTAAGGGCATCACTTTTTTTCTTTATTTGATAAGGAAAAGTTTATTAGGAAAAGCATCCCAAATATAAATAAATAAATTAAAGAAGGATAAGGCTAAACCATTTAAAATCGCCTGACACTCTACCTTAGTTTCTTTTCGCTTTAAACCCTGTATGCCAGTCATGAAATTGGATTTCAGCCATGGCTCATCATTGATGGTACAACTACTCCCGATGGTTGGTTGTGAAGTCTAATTCTGTTCACCAGAGGCAGAGGGCCAGAACTATTATGTTGAATCAGACTTCCCGTGATTCATTTTCACTAGAAACTCGGGTAAACTGCAACAAAGCAATCATTTGGAAGGCAGTCCGATCATTTTAATGTTAGTTCATTGAACTAGTCACTAGTTTGAAGATAAAGAATATTTTTTAAGTGGTTTCTAGGGCTCTTAAGTTTCGGGATAAATTGCACTATGAAGTATAGTTGCTTGGCTATTGCTATCTTCTGCACTGCTTACATTTGTCCATGCAAAATTGCTAGATATCTTTTGATAATTAAGGTAATGTTATATATGAAACCAGCATCAATAGATTGCCGGTGGTGTGAAAATTACAATAAAAACAAGTCCGTACTGACTGTGGAAAGAGGGAATGGAGTTGAGCATGGCCTTAACATCTTGCGTGTCATGTACAACTGCCATATTGCTCCAAAAAGACAACATTGAAATGCATACAAACTTAAGACTAATTACATTTTCCATTGGAAGTGCAACTTCTGTCCAATCATAGATGCCCCTTCGCTTGAATAAATAACTCATTTTTATGAAGCTGGAAATGCATCTTTTGCATTAACTTTACATGCATTCCCACATAGAGCTTGTTGATAGTGCAAGTGAACGGAGTTCTTTTTTAAAATTTCTCTGTAAAGAGAGAATCAACTTTTATGGTCTGCATATGTTTTTTTTTTTAAATTTACATTCCTCTGTTAGTTAATTGCCTTATGAGGTTGCTATCACATTTAAGTAATGCTTTTTATCTTTTACAGTCAAGCTGAATGCCAACCGCTTAGTTGTCGGCACTCTTCGTGGGTTTGATCAGTTCATGAATTTGGTCATTGACAACACCGTTGAAGTTAATGGCAATGAGAAGAATGAAATTGGCATGGTGGTGAGTCTCTCATTCCCTTTTCTTTTTCTCCCTTCCTCTTTGCGATTCATCTCTGGATGTTTGGATCTAACATCTGTTTATGCAGGTGTAACTGTTAATATATAATCAACAAGCCTATTTCCTTTGGAACGGCATTTGATTTTTTCTAATTTGATGAGATTTGTTGTTTTAACTGTTATTCTTAAATCTGGAAAAGCTCCATAAGGATAGATGTCCCATAAGTGAACTTAAGCTGGTCCTTAATTTCTCTTTCAGGTAATTCGCGGTAATAGCGTGGTGACTATTGAAGCATTGGAGCCAGTTGCCAGAGCGCAGTAGCTCTAAGGTATCTTTGTCTATGCTCTAGATTCTGCTGCTGCTCTTAAAGGAACATATATTTGTACCATGATATTCAGTATTTGACTAGATAACAGTTAACATGACAATCAAATTCTGTCTAAGCTTGTTCGTCAATGCTCTCTATTCATACAGAGCACTATGTACTGAATGTAATTTCTCTGTGTTTCATTTTTTCCCCCAATTAAAATGAGCATAATGCGATGATTACCCTTTTTAACGCTCTAAGGTAAAAGGTGTTTTCTGCCATTTTCAGTAGTAATAAAAATATGCGCTCTCTTTGAGTACCATTTCTCTATGGAAGGGCGAAAAATAGAAAGATACCTTCTGACAAACTGGAGAAATTAAGTGCTTATTCTTCGGAAAAGGGATGACAAAAAATGACAGTAATTTGATTGTTAAGTCCTAAAAAAGGAGCAATTTATTTGTTATATTTTGCAGATTTGTTTGTCCAGCAGTCAAAGTTTTATATTATGTGTTATGTATAAGCGATAAGCAGTTCAGTGACCCAACATTTCAAGAGTTTCGTGCTTAAAGAGTGGCCATTTGTACCAAAATCTTATTTATCAGCGCTTCATGTAGATGGAAGATACTAATTCTAGGTAAATGGGCTGTATACTATAATATCATATGGTTAATACGGTACGTAACTTTGTCATCCATTCAAGTTTATGCTTTTAATACTCTTGTTAAACCTATGATTTGTTTTTGAACAAATAAAGGTTAAAGCTTTTAATGTAAAGTCAAAAAACACTTGGTGGAAAAACTAATAGATGTTAAAAAACGTAGCTCAAAGTAATAATATAAATAAGAAAATAGACAAGAATGTAGGGAGTAAGAGATGAGAGATCCTTATTTCTTACATGTATTCAAATGGGTTACAAAATCACTTCTCATCCTCTATTTGTAGTACTACTTAGAGGTATATCAAAAAAAAAATTCTATAATTATGTCATTAAACATTTGAGATCACGGTGGAAGATCATGGGGATGTCTGGGAGTTACAACCATAACTCCATAAATATTAGAGTAGTGGAAGTTATGGAGATTATGGAGAAGAGTAGTGGGTATTACTTATTTGGTGGTTATGAACATCCACTATAATATATTTTATAACACTCCCCCTTGATGTTCATAATAATGTGCCTCGTCAAAATCTTACTAAAAAAAAACCCGTGGGAAAAAAATCTTAGTGAAGGAAAAAGAGTACACATATCTTGTAATATGCATTATTTGCTGTCTCGTTAAAAACCTTGCTAGGAAAACCCAGTGGGATAAAACCTCAGCTAAGAAAAAAAGAGTGCAGTGCGTATCTTACTCCCCTGACGAAAACATCACTTTACTTTTAGGGAATGACACATTCCAATCCCGTATACCAGCTTCTCAGATGTTGGGGTTGGTAATAATTCATTGAACAGATCCATCAAATTATCAATCAAATAAATTTGTTGAACGTCTATATCACCAATCTGTCGAAGATCATGTCCGAAAAGAACTTTAGTGAAATGTGCTTTATTTTGTTGCCTTCAATATATCCTTCTTCCAGTTGAGATAAGCAAACATCATTATCTTTAGTATTATTGGAATCTTCTCTTCAAAGAAGAGACACGTATGTTGTGTGTTGAGTCCCTTGCTTTATCAGTTGCTTATCTTGGCATGACTTGAATAAGTATCAACAATTAACTGCCTTGTAAAATGATAATATGGCAGTACTCTCACATGCAAATAGATTGTTTGAAGAACGAACTTCAGGAAAATGCCTGCATTTGCATAACCAATAAAATCTTGGCAATATTTGTTAGAACAAACAAATCTACATCAAGTATTCCTTTTGAAATATAACACTAATTGTATTCCAATATCTCCACATAGAAATAAAACTGTATCTTGGTAGCATATTGTTATACTCATGGTTCTAGCCAGATATATTAGTGCACCAATTGCACTAGACACAAAAACAAATCATGTAGGCCATGATCGCTCTAATCTACATAAGGATTTGCCGAAGCTTTATTTAATAAATTTCTTGGGAACCTTAATATACTTCAGAACAATTTAAATCCTTCAAGGATTTTCATTATATGCATATAAAATGTATTGTCAGACCAAAATCTGAATTGACTCCATTCATCACAGGAGAACATGTTTCCATATAACTAATACCAGGATATTTACGAAAATCTTGTGTCACAAGTCGTCTTTATGTCTATCGACTTGATTTTTCATTTCACTTTTTGCACGATAGACTATCCGTCCAATTTCATATTTTTTAGGCCAAGTCAATTATCATTGTGTATTTTTTATTTGGCCAATCATTTATTTGTCCAAATTCCATGACAGATTTGAGCTGAAGATCCTCGTCAAAATTAATAATATTGAGCGCTACATTATATCAACAATATCGTTGATGATCGTTTTATATCGGTTCCATCGTTACTCAATAAAGATATAACTTATTAAGATCTCTTTATCTCGTTATTTTTAGGTATCTGAGCCTCTCACATGTGGTGTTATGAAGTGTTATGTCATGGTACTTTTATAAAGCACTTGCCTCCTTATTATGCCCATCTTGAACATTTGCTCCTCTCCTTCTTCGAGGAGTTTTATCTTTGGAACCGATTAGTCTATTACGCTTCATGCGTTCCATAGACTATGTCCGTCATTGACTTTATTCTATTTGGAGCGTTAGTAGCTGAAATATGACATTTTGTTTTGGGTCAGCAAATGCGCACGACAATTTTTTGCAAATGAATTATCACTTGAACTTCAGTTCATATTTTCTTCTACGAGGATCTAAGTGTACTCATAATAATTCATTCCATGTATTAATTTTTTGACCTGCTCATTTTCTTCCCCTAATGTTGGAATCACCAACACATATCCCCAATCTTCTTTGGGGACCAATCTTTGTGTATTGTGGTGGCACAATTAAATCATATAGTACATCCATATTTCTAGATGAGAATATTTGGTTCCTGACCCTGAACCAATTGTTATGGGGAGAATGTATCATAACTTGTTGGCCAAATGCGTACAAGTGCTGTTGTATATTAAATGATGCACTTCATACAAAATTTTTATTTGGAGTTTTGTTATCATAACCAATGGTTTAGTTATAATTAAAGGCATACAGTTTCTGCTAAACCAACTTGTATTTAAAGCAGCATTATCAAGATAAATTATCATAATTTTTATTTTGGAACTGTGCTCTAATAATTTGAGCAATCAACCTTGCAAAAGTCAAACTGCAAGTTGATAACAAACGCACATGTGATCATAGAATAGATGCATTTACTAAAATCATATAATAGTAAATAGTCCACATGGCAGGTGACTGAGCCTCTCTTCTCTCTCTCTCTCTCTCTATATATATATATATATATATATATATATATATATATATATATATATATATATATCACCTTTTATTCGTTCCAGAAATCAAGAAATTCAACCCCAACCTTAGCTGGTATATCATGAGAATAATCAGCACAAGAGAATTCTTGAAGAATCTTATATTTCTTTAATATATGCTAATGTGAATTCTCAATCAATTTTTCGCATCATAATTGGACTGGGATGACCAACCGGTCATGCCAACTGATATTTATTTCAGTAAACATCTAATTTACTATGACATGTGATTCCATCATCATGCTTATATTTGTGTAGTACAAATAGAAGAAAAATTGGGTAACCTTTTATATTTACCTAGTGTGATTATAGTAATAAAGATATCCAATCTTCCTTTCATTTATAGTCTCAATATGCCAACCACTTTGGCTAATACATTTGAAACTCAAAAAGTTTCTTGTTGAGGCTTACTACAATATCAATGTCATGAACAATTTCATTCATCCGGGTAGTAACAAATTAGCTCTTCCAGAGCTCTTAATTGATTTTGTACTACAAGATTTTTGTCACACCATCCATATGGTGAATGTCTCGTTCAAGGAGAAAATCATATCATAATAATTGTCATAGTCAAAAACATCATAAACAAAATCATTTCTTGTTTTAGTTTTGCCTTTAATAACCTTTTATAAGGCACGATAAAATATTTTTTGGCGTACCACATGTACGCGACCAATGACACATTCATGTAATCATATTGTAATATTCATTATCTTTATTTCTCTCAAACCTCACTTAGAGGTGAGTTGTGGTATTTATCAAATCTTGCATAAGCACATTCTTGTGCATTATTTGAATCATATATATATTTTCACATTCACTTTCAAGAATGACTTTTCATCTACGATGCATATCACAAGTCACATTCTCTTCAAGTGGACTATAATCATATGAGCATGCTTACTATTTTTATACCACATTGATGACAATCATCACCTTCACATTTTGAAGGAATATTTTGAGAACCCTTATTGTTCTTATTTTTACAATTACCATAATGATGATTATTATTATTTGATCAATGGCACGCCCATGTTCATTGGTCAACCACTTGTCTTCATTAGACTTATTATGCACTGTTACCACATTCACTTCAAGAATGTTGCAAATCAAGTGGGACAAGCTTCATTCTTTTTCATGAAAAATATATTTTATTTCTTTAGTCATCATTATATCATCAATATGGTGCATTGAGAATTCAACTCAATGACTTACCCATACATAAGAGTGTTTGGTTAAATGTATCGGAACTCAAAACCAATATCATGACCTTATCATCATGGTGCACCAGGACTCAAACCCGATGTCTTACCTTCAACCAATGGCATAATAGGCTAAAGCGTGCTGAGGCTCATCCTCGAGCATTTAAAAATGTTAATTATCACACCGTTGTTCATATAGTTATTAAAATGAGTAAGCAATATTTGCTTGTGAGATGGACATGTACTACATGTATATATTCAAAGCATAATAGTGTATCAAGGTAAGACTATTTTGTGACTTTGATAAAAAAAATTCATTTCTGAATACAGAGAATAATACATAGCACCTACTAAAAATTATTGCTATACCTTTTAAAATAACAACTAACAATTAGGTGAAACTCTCTAGGTGAATTTTCACCTCTGAATCCCATTCAAATTCATCAAATTTGAGACTAGAAAAGAATTAATTATTTCCCAAAAGAATCGTATGCAACAAACGTCACTTTTGCACAGAGTACGTGTGTTAAACTTAAAAGTTTCATTAAGAGGGAATAACTCCTTATAGGGTTTATAAAAAGAAATTATTTTGGATGTACAAAGGCTGGTAAG